GAGGAAAGGTTACAGAACCTAATAAAAATAATTAAAATAAATCGAACCGGACCTGAGAATTTAATCGATTTATCGAAAACCACACGAATAATAGGAAAACCGAGTGAAAAACTCGAAAACCAAACAAAAGAGACCAAATCACTAATCGAACCGAACCGGTTCGAATCGAACCGGAATGGCCCAGCCCACCGGTTCGAATCGAACCGGAATGGCCCAGCCCACTTTCCTTCCTTCCTTTTCTTTTTCTTTCTTTTCTCTCCTTCCTTTCTCTCCTTCTTCCTCGCGCACGCGACAGCCTCTCCTCTCCCTCTCCTTCGCGTTTCCGGCCACCGTTCAACAAGATGAAGGAGGCGATCGGTTCTTCTGGCGATGTTGGACACGTTTCCAACCTCCCCTCACTCCGATTGGACCTCCAGCGGCGCGAATCGAGACCATCTCCTCCGACAGTCACACTCTTTGATCTCCGGCGACTTCTCGCCATTTCCGACGGGCTCAAGGTGAACTGAAGGTCTTGATCGACTCCTCTCCTCCAGACGAACATTTCCCCTCCACCGATTTGCTTTTTCATTTGAGTTTTGAGGAAACTCCATGGGAGGCGAGGAGGCGGCGAAGAGGGAACTGTCGAGGTCGATCCGTCCAAACGAGCCACTGCCTCATCAAATTGTTGGTAGATTTGAACTCCTTGGGAAAATTGGAGTCGGGTGGTGGTGGCCTTGCAATTTTCTGGGCGGTATCGTTTTTTCGGCCTCCGTGCACGGCGGCCGGGTATCGTTTTTCCGGCCACCGTGCACGGCGGCCGGCGGCGGCGGTCCGGTGACCGGCCGGCTACACTCCGGCGAGGTCCCAAGAGGCAGAATGATCTCCTCTTCGCGTTGATCATGGAATTGCGGCCCGATTCTCAAACGGTACACCCTAATACCTATTTCCTAATTTTTGTTTTGAACATCTTTAAATAAATTACAAGGTTATTATTAAAATTAGGTGATTTGAGGGGGGGGGGGAATAAATTAGAATTAGTTAACTAGTTAATTAGATAATCATTAGTTTAAAATTAGTCGATCGTGTATAAGAAAAGTAAGGTGAATTTTAGTTGGTTAACAGTTAGATCCGAGATTTTAATAAATTAAGATTTGGGAGGTCTATCCATTTTTTTTATATTGATATAAAAACCGAATTTTAATAGGTAGTAGTTATAATTAGTTATTGTTAAAATTATGTTTTAGCTGCTTAACAATTAGTTAATGTAAAGCCATTAATTTAGTTAACTAATGACTTAATAAATGATTTTATATGGATATTATTAGAATTCGTTTGTAAATTTTCAGTTGAGTGTCGATATAGTTGTTTTGGAAGGTGGAAGGAGGATGGGATTTTTAAATTGATTGATTGCCCGACGGAATGGGTGTCGTGCATAGATTTTGATTAAAATATATAATAATATTGGATATTTGAGCAGGTAGATAGTCCAATTTTTTAGGGGAGGTGCTGCCGAAATTTTGGATTAAGAAATTAACTAAATTTTTAATTAACAACATAAATTATAAGTTTATTTAGATTAGTCTAGAATTGATTACATAATATATAGTGCTCTGGATTGTTTTATAAATCTTTATTATTCATTTAACTATTACATATTCACTTATTTACTTTTATTCATGTTGTTAATTGCATTAATACTATTTATTTATCTTATTTTTTGCATTGATTTTGATTGTTTAATTGTGCATTGCATTACGAAATGGTCTAAACTTGAATTAATATGTCTGAATTTGGAATTGCCATAGTTTTGATTTAATTGTGTAATTGTTTGATTACTTGTGTTGTGATATTGTTGTGCCTTGTTTGTGTGGAATTGGAATGAAGTGGGTCACCATGGGTTTGTGAGGACGGTCGATAAAGTATAGATCCTGATTATGTTGAAATTATGAAATTGAACCGTCGGCCGGGTAAATGGAGATCGGAGCCCCCATGTGCACCTGATGATATGATATGTATGATATGGGAAAAGAAAAGAGAGAATGTAAAAACAATGAGAGGACTGGTCATATGAGGATTAGACCGGTCGGCCAGGTATTGGGGATTGGCTCCCCAGGTGCACACGTCTAAAGGATGGGCCATGTGAGAGTACGGCTCGTCGGGGGTTTCGGTGATGCCACTGACTAATTTCCACGTGATATGATTATATGAAGGTTCGGCCAGTAGGGGATCGGCTCCCTTGGGTGCACATGTGGAGAGGATGAGCCATGCGAGGACGGCTCATCGGGGGGTCGGTGACTCCATGACTAATTTCACGTGATGTGATTATATTGAAGATGTTAATTAATTGTTGAGTGCTGGTGATATGCCATTTCTGTAGTGACTGGCGCCAGACTATTGAATTACGTGTGAGCAAACTAGTTCGGATGACTAGTTTGATATATTTTATACAAGATGTGAATGCTTGTGTTGTGCACATAAATTATTATTCATTAATAACTCACAACTCTTTTGTTTAATCTTCAGGAAAGTAGCATTTTTAAATCCCAGCTATAACTCTGCTCTTTCACTAAAAAAAAAAGAAATTCGCTAATTTTCGTATTGATCAATTAAATAGATAAATGTCCGAAGACTTATAATGTATACAATCCGTCAATGAACTCCATCCCGCAGTTATAGAAATTTGTATACTTTTAAGTTCTGTATGATGTATAGATGGAATAATTCTGTGAGCCTGTTTTATTAATATAGTAAATTTGTAAATGTTTAAAAGTATATGAGATAGCAAATTTGTAGTGTTTCAGGCTTACTACGGAGGCCACACCTCTGGGCCTTAAGCTTACCTGGGCCCTAGTGCCGGTCCGGCCCATGGAAAATGTGTCGTGACAATAGTTAGAGTTATTCATTAGTTCTGGCTTACTACGGGCCTCGGGGGCCTTAAGCTTACCTGGGCCCTAGTGCCGGTCCGGCCCATGGAAATGGGTCGTGACAATAGTAGAGTAATTCATTAGTTCTCTATGATTATTAATATTAATAATACAAATTTATTTGAAAAATCAAATTAGATATTCCGCGTATCATTATTAAATATATTATTATTTTACAATAATTAAAAAAATAATAGTAATCTCCTGATCCTAACGGGCCGGGGATAAGATGCAATTACAATGGGCTTAAGAATGGAGTAACCGAATGGAATGGTGAAATAGCTTTGGGCTCCATTCGGTGCAATAGCTTTGGGCTCCATTGGGTGCAATACCGAACTCGTGTTTTACCATTAGAATTTGAACTTTTGAAAATGGTCCGATTACCTGTTACCCGCTAAATAGGTTTCCTGATCTTGGCCATCATCTTTTTATCAAAGAAAAAGAAAATCAGAGTAAATTAAATCGGACTTTAAGTTATCCAATGGCTAATTTTTGTATTTGCCTTTGCCTTTGGTTTTCTAATTCCTGTATTTATATATTGCAAGAATAATGTGGGGATTCATGATCTATTTTCTCTTTTTTAATTTTATAATTTTTATCTTACTTATTAATAGCTTTTGTCTTTACTTAAATTCTTAATTTTCTATTTTCTTTCATTAGGGGTGTAAATGAATTGAGCTAACTCGTGAACTATGAACTGTTCGAGGTCGAGTTTGTTTATTTAGCATATGAGTTGAGCTCGAGTCTAATAATGTTCAGCTTAAAAATCCATCAAGCCTTATTGAGCTTTTATATATATATATATATAATATTATTTTAAATTACTCGAGCATTGAACCTTGAATCGAGCTCGAGTTTAAAATTTTTCGAATTAAACTCGAATCTCGAATCAAACTTTCATCAAGCTCAAGTCAAGTTTGAATCTAGCTCAAGTCTAAATTTTTAGGCTTATTGATTTTGAGCTGAGCTCGAACCTGATATACACCCTTATGTTACGATACACAAAGTGACTAAAATTTTCATTTAATTTTATTAAAGTCATATAACTTTAATTTATCATTTTGTAGTCATAAAATATTATCGATAAATAATTATAATTTGATCTTCCACTCGTACATTAGTCAGTTGCTTTGATTATTGGATAAATAATTATAATTTGGTCAATTTCAATAATAATTTAATACAAATCATTCAATTCTAATGAAAGAAAACAAAAGAAGAATTATACTTTAATTATGCTAACTAAATTTATATTATATTTGAGAAATTTTGAATAATGTGACTGTTAAGTGGAAAGGAAGCCAAAAGCAGTGGAAAACGAAAACCCGAGAAAAGATATTATATTATGTCTTTTTACTTGATAAAGAAAAATAATAAAAAAAAGGAAATAAAATGCTGAAACTCATAATAGCTAAGATACTTATGTTAATTTGTGGTTTTCATGTGAAATTAGAAATGTTCAATAGCATTTTTACATATATAAAAAAAAATTAAAAATATATTAATGATATATTTGATATATATTTACTTTTTTTTAAAATTCCTTTTCCCATCATATAAATATTAACAAGGTAATTTTGTCTCACTAAATAAGTCAACAAAATCTTGGTCAGAAATGGCATTTTTGAGTTGTCAGTATACACATGTCACGTCCACATCATATTGCCAGGTTATATTTCAAATAAAAAACTATCTACGTCATTTTTTCCTTAAAAAAATGGAAATTCCTTTTTTGAATAATTCCATTAATGTAGCTGCTATTTCAGTATAGATTGAAAAAGAAATATACAAATCTCAATAACACATTCTAATTTATTTTTAAATATAATTATTTCTAATTTTTCATTAGATTAATAATATGATTATTACTATAACTTACGTATTTTATTTAATTAAACATTTATTTTTTTAAATTCAAGCATTCTAGTTCCTTTTTTTTTCTCAGAAAAAAGGTATTAAAGTGTTGTTATTAGAGTTATTAATTATATATTTACCAATGACCTTAAAAAACTAATCAGTAAAAACAGCGACGCAAAATGATAAAAATAGGAAAAGGATATTATAGTTAGTTTAACTTAACGGCAAAATAGCCAGTAGTAGTATATTTTCGTTCAGCTCTTTCTAGCGAGACTTGGCGGCTTCGCCATTGTCCTCTTTCTATATATGTTTATTTTTTTAATTACTGATTCGGCTATCATGATTCAATTATTTAATCTCAGTTCAATTGGAATCTTCTGTGCAATCTCTTTTGCATTTGGTAAACGCTTGGTCTCTGTCTCTGTCTCTCTGCTCGTTTCGTTTCTTTTCAAATCCCTGAATTTCTTTGCTATTCTCCTTTTTCTTCGAATTTTTTTGGATATTTTGGATGCTTTATCCTTTTGTTTTGTTTCCTTTGTTGTTATTTTCTAGCAAATGGTGCAATTTGTGATCCAATTATACGTTTTTAACCAATTGGATTAATTTCTTTTAACGGTTCTTTCGGTGTTTCTTATAATTTACGGTTCTTGTGCTGAGTTTTGAAGAATAATTTACTCAATTTTCAACCTTTTGTCCTCAGAGATAATGTGTTTTCTGGGTTTTGCTTTTGGGTGGGGGGGTTTAAGGTTTCAGCTTTGTAAACTGAAGATTTGTTTGTGATTTTATGGTTAATTTGATATTCAAATATCATAGCTGCGATGAACTTGGAATGTCATAAATTGGTAGCTATAAAATCTTAGTACATTTTTTGAAGTGTAATTTATGTTTGAGTTTATTCTGCCTTCTGCCTTCTGCCTTCTTAAGGTTGTCTTAAACTATGAATTGCTACTTTCTCAGATAATTATAGTCCATTGGAGACAGAACCTTAGCATTTCTTACATTGACTTATTATTTTTAGATTATAATGCTTTTCTTGAAATTTGACTCTATTTTTTGCTTGCATGTCCAGAGCTGGAGGGGTCAAAGAGGAAGAAATTGAGTCGAATAAGATCAGTGGTTTAATTTCTCTGTTTATCATTGGAAAGTGATAATGATCTCTATTCAGAAATTGAAGTGCTCATGGCATCTGACAGCTACAATTATTTCTGTAGTAGCATTGGTTTCTATTGTGCATCTATTTTTGTTTCCTTTGGCGCCTTCCTTTGATTACTTTGGCGTCCGACAAGTTCAGAATTCTTGTGCTTCTAATAATGGATCAGATGAAGGAAGGAATAACCATGTTTGGGAAAATTTACAACCCAGTGTTGCTTTAGATCAAAGGTTTCCAATCGACTCACATAGGGCAGTGGTTTATCGTAATACACCATGGAAGGCTGAGATTGGGCAGTGGCTTTCTGGTTGTGATGCAATTACTAAAGAAGTCAGTGTTGCGGAGGTAATGATGATACCAACTTTACAAAAGTTTACGTGTTGATTACTGTTCTCTCTAGTCATTATTTGTGTTCATGGGATATCTTTAGTCAAGGTACACACAAAGAAATGATGGTTCTATTGGCTTAGGAGTCTAGTTTGAGGATTTCATTATCATGCTATTTTCTTTAATTTACCGACTTTGGTTATTTGGGGTTTCATTCTAGGTTAGTTTATTTTGACACCAACTTGGAAATTTTATCTTGGAATTTTGTCCTTTTAATCAACTGTTATGTCGACAGATAATTGGTGGCAGGAGCTGCAAAAACAATTGCAGTGGTCAGGGTGTTTGTAACCATGAATTGGGGCAGTGCCGCTGCTTCCATGGATTTACTGGCAAGTCTTTTTTTTTTTTCTGGTTATTTTGTTTTCCCTCTTCTCTTGCTGGTTTTGTTCTCTAATAGATATTGAATATGAAATGGAAATTAGAATTGTGTGCCACCATGCTAATTTAATTATTCATATAATTAGAACCATGGTTTGTTACCATTACTATTTCAATTAAAAATGTCCAAGCAGTTGAATCACGAAACATTGCAATATGTTCATTGTGGTTTCAAATTTTAATGGGGTAAATACATAACTCTCCCATTTCATCAGTCCTTATTTCTAACTTCCAATTTAAAAAATGCGAGAACTTTTCTACATCCAAAATTATGAGCAATCTCTGCTTGTATTTCTTTGTGATAAACCAATGAAACAATATTATATAGTATTAACAAATTTTGGGTAAACTGAACAAAGTTTAGAGCATATACGTAGGCAACAGAAACAAAGAGGATATAACCAATGCATTCTAAATTATACTCATTTGATCATCGTTGCTGTTATTAATGGAATAGGAGAAGGATGCTCTGAGAGACGGAACTTTGAATGTAATCACCCGAAAACACCAGAAATGCCATATGGACGGTGGGTTGTCTCCATTTGCTCTGGCTTTTGTGACACAACCAGGGCAATGTGCTTCTGTGGAGAAGGCACAAAATATCCTAATCGTCCTCTTGCGGAGGCATGTGGATTTCAAGTGAAGTGAGTGAATTTAGATCGTAAGATAAATTTTATTGTTCTTTCCCCACAGCCTTACAATTATTAACTTCTTAATGTCTTTCTCAGTGAACCTTCTGAACCTGGTGCTCCCAGATTGACTGACTGGGCAAAAGCTGATCTGGACAATGTTTTTACGACAAATGGAAGCAAGACAGGATGGTGCAATGTGGTTCCTGAGGAAGCCTATGCTTCTAAGATGAAATTCAAAGAAGACTGTGACTGCAAATATGATGGTCTTATTGGGCAGTTCTGTGAAATGCCTGTGCAATCTGTTTGTATTAATCAATGTTCTGGGCATGGGCATTGCCGTGGTGGATTTTGTCAGGTAATATGTTTTCTTAGTTTTCTTTTAGCATTCTGGTATTTGATCTACTTATAGAAGGAAACTCAGCAGTCAACCATCTTTTCTCCATTTAACATGAGAGAATGGTATTTTATTTATATATTTTTTTTTCTCATGGGAAGCTGTATATTCTGACATGTTACTTTTTCCTTTTTGAAATTTTGTCACAAAAGAATTTCAGAAAATATTGATATGGTTTAGAAGTCTCAGGAATGAGTTTTTAGTTATACGGGAAACTTAATGATGGCTGGTTCGGGGAGATAGGAATCCAATACAAATTAATACTTGGGAATGATTAATTTGTAATCTCTGCTAACACTTTTTTTCAGTTGTTTGCTAAGTGTTCCTTGAAATAAAAAGTTGAAAATTTCTGCTAATTGTTATCGTCTTTGTAACAGAATTTTCATTCGTATTCAGAATCCAGTTTTCATAGGACTGCAAGGATGTATATATTATGTCCTTTCCATGTCTTACCTCTTAAAAAGTGGCAATTGTTTCAGCTTAGTCTGTCTTTGTCATCAACTGATCTTTCCACCAGATCTGTAATTTATTTTAGACAAAATTGGGACGCTTATGTTTCATCTGATCAAGTCTGTAATTTATTTTAGACAAAATTGGGACGCTTATGTTTCATCTGATCAAGCCACCTGTGTAGTCACTAAACACGTGCAATTGTTTCAGCTTAGTCTATCTCTGGATCTTTCCTCCAGATCTGTAATTTATTTTAGACAAAATTGGGACGCTTATGTTTCATCTGATCAAGCCACCTGTGTAGTCACTAAACACGTGCAATTGTTTCAGCTTAGTCTATCTCTGGATCTTTCCTCCAGATCTGTAATTTATTTTAGACAAAATTGGGACACTTATGTTTCATCTGAACAAGCCACCTGTGTAACAACAAAATAATTGAGTAAGGCCTTTGCATGTAGGTATCTTTCTGGTGCATAAGATGCTATATTGGCATGAAAACCAGTTTATGGCCTATTTATGGTACAATTGAGTGATTTGAATAATGCTTGACTGAAGTTTTGAACTAGTTGGACCAGCATGATCTGATAACTCTGGACCAAAATTCTTCAATTGGTTGCTTTTATCTTATATGATTGTTTACCTTATAGTATGGTTGCAGCAACCTTATATATTCATGCCAGAGATTTTGTGTTTTATGCATTCTCTTTTGCACGTCACAAGTCATAACAATTCTGAAGGAAAAAAAGAAGCTTACTATTTACGTTGCAATTGGTAGAAGTCCTGTTAATGAAAGGTCATGGAGTTCCCAATTTCAACGGTTCCTAAGTTGGTGTTCATTAAAAGAATAGTATCATTCACAAATAGCATCCAATTGCTGGTTGGAGTAGACAGTTTTATTTTCATGTTGCATTTATGAATAGTGTCTTCCTTTTCATGTACATATTAGGAGAAAGATACAAAAGCATCATGTGATTGCCAAGTGACAGAATAAGCCACTGAATCATTAGATTGCAATGCTATTGGAATCTTCAATACAATAAATTTATACAGTTCATGAAGAGTTTTGTTGTTTTAAAAGGAATTTAATATTTGTCTTTACAGAACTATCATCACAGCAGAAGTTATAATCAATTATGAATTTATATTGTTCTGATATTTTTTACTGTCTATTACCTAATCATTATTAAGTTATTTTTCAGTGTGACAATGGGTGGTATGGAACAGACTGCAGTATCCCGTCTGTTGTATCATCAGTACCAGACTGGCCTCGATGGCTTAGACCTGCTCAGTTTGATGTTCCTGATAATGCACACCTCACTCAGAAAGTCAGTCTCAATGCTGTGGTCAAGAAGAAAAGGCCCCTTATATATGTTTATGATTTACCACCTGAGTTCAACAGCCTACTGCTTGAGGTAAAAATAGAGTTCCTTTTGTTTCTTGATAATTCTGTGGAGCATGACTGTCAGGTTTGCTATTTATTGCCTATTGTAGGGGCGACACTTTAGGTTTGAATGTGTAAACAGAATTTATGTCGAAGGGAATGCAACACTCTGGACTGATCAGTTATATGGTGCACAGGTATTGTTTAAACTGAGATAGACTCCAAGTCAGTATAGAAGTATAATGTAGCTCAGGAAATTCTTTCTTTGTTCTCCAAACACTTGCAGATGGCACTTTATGAAAGTATTTTAGCTAGCCCATATCGGACATTAAATGGTGAGGAAGCCGACTTTTTCTTTGTTCCTGTTCTCGATTCATGCATCATAACACGTGCAGATGATGCGCCCCACCTGAGTTTGCAGGTACTATTTATAGAGCTGTTATATGTGCATGCACTGATGATATGGTATTCTATTTTAAAGTGCGTCTTTATTTGAGTAAAAGAAAGAAACTGGAAGTGTTCCTTGCACATTTCTGATGGTTTGGTATACCTGTAGTAAATTAGTAAGACCTTTTGAGGTGTTTGATGTTGTTTCCTAATGGTTGCAATCCCAACATGAATTTTGGTTTGTCAGTTGAAATCAACGGTCATGGCATCTCATATATCTTTTCCTAGCTATGTCCACCTATAATTTCACTGTTATGATCTTTCATCTGTACTCTCCCATAAAATTTCAAGTTCTTTTCCCCCCTCTGGATCCATGTATGACATAATTCACCTTCTCATTCCTCCACTCAGTTCAGCTAATTCTTAATCCCAAACGAGCTCAGTCAGCTATTATGAATCCATTTCCTCCATCTTGGTTTATAACTAGCTCTTCAGAAAGATCTAGAGCATCCAAATCCTTTCTCACTACTTTCCTCCACTCATCCTTGGCCTGCCCCTTGCTTATTTAACCTTCTATTTCTTTCTATTTATTTTTTTTCTTATACTACATGTACTTCTCGTTGCACTTTTGGCATCATCCTGTGAATGTTCTTGTTTAGAAATCCTTGTGAACTTGATATCATTCCTGCTTTCTAATTTTGCTTCTATCTGCTCATTGTCTAACTTCTGAAAATTGGATGCTATTGCTCAAGATTTTCTCGTAAAGTAGTCATCTTGTAGCTGTTTTTGCCAAGTACCCCCTGCCGTATGACTGGACTATTCCGGACTCTTCGTTCCATTACTTCTTCTTTATGTAATGGATGTTTAAATATATCTCAAAGATGTGTGGAGATGATTCTTGCCAAGGAAGTTTGGCTGAAATTCAAATCATTAGAAAAAAGAACAATTACAATGAAAAGGGAACTCAACGACTTTGCCTGCATCAGGTTATTTCTTCGTTTTGTCCAGTCATTAATAACTTGATTATTTTTAGATAATAGTAGATATAAACAACGCTCGTAATCAGTCCTACGATCCCCTTTAAGATAAAAAAATTCCATAAAATTGAATATGATTGTATTGGTAATAGTATCTATTATACTGGGAATTATCAAGGAACCGGATTATTGAAATTGCTCAAGATACCCTCTTTTAATTTCTAGAATCTGTTTCTTAGTTCAAGATCCCTCTTACTAACTGGAAGCACACTTTGGTTTATAGCTAGTGCTATCAGAGACCTAGAAAAGAGGGATGGAGGGTGCAAAGTTGTCTTCTATTTGTTGCAAGAATGAAAAGGTTTAAATACCTAGGAGGTGGTTTTTCAGCAGATCAAGACAGGAGGTGGTGTTTACTCAGGGATTTGGAGTACATGTAAAATAGAAGTTTGAAGATGCCATGAATAAGTTCCTTTTGCAATTGAGGGTTTTGCTTTATTCTTACCTATTTTGGCTGGTAATATCTGATTATTAAAAGAAATAGGAAGACTGACGAAAAGGATGGTGTAAACAATTTAGTACACATTCATATCTGCGAATCTACCAATTAGGTTTTATGAACTAGAAGATGCTAGTTTGAAATCGCATTCTTCAGTTGGTTCCACAGTTACTAAAAGCTGACCTGAATCCACATATGTAATTTTTTTTCTTGCAGTCAGTTACTGAATTAATTAAATTAAAGTTATCTATTGATTTATCCATTGTAAGGCAGATAGATTATATTTTGTTTGGGCTTTATTTTCTGTGAAAATCTAAATATTAGGCTATCAAAAGTGCAATTGTTATCAAGCAATTTTTGAAAATCTATCTCCACCTCGAAGCTCTTGTTTTCCAAAGCTTTTGGGTTTCGTACAACTTAAGCTTCTTTTGCAATCAAAAAATGAATATTTTCGTTTATAAGATATTTCAGAGGTATGTGTGAGAATGTGTGCTTGTTTCTTTCCTATTCTACTATGCTAAATTCTTGATTATCATGCACTTTTATTACTTGCTAATTTCAGGAACATATGGGCTTGAGGAGTTCGCTAACTCTGGAATATTATAGGAAGGCATACTATCACATCGCTGAGCATTATCCATATTGGAATCGCTCATCGGGAAGGGACCATATTTGGGTATGATATAATTAAGGGTTTGATTGCATCTGTGGGGAGATTGAATGATGATAATCTTTTGTGCTTATACTATAGAATATTTTCATCTGTAGTCTAATCATGTCACCTTTACATCTGAAGGCAGTTTTTTTCATGGGATGAAGGTGCTTGCTATGCCCCTAAAGAGATATGGAATAGCATGATGTTGGTTCACTGGGGTAACACAAATTCAAAGCATAACCATTCTACGACAGCCTATTGGGCTGATAACTGGGATAAGATTCCTTCTGATAAAAGGGGCGTGCATCCATGCTTTGATCCTGAAAAAGATCTTGTGCTTCCTGCTTGGAAGCACCCTGACGTTGGTGCTTTGAGCACCAAACTGTGGGCTAGGTACTTTTCTTATTTGATCAAGCCATCTTATCTATCTGATAAAAAAAAAAAGTTGTCTTCTAATTTTTTATCGCTATATTTTTTTTCTCATTTCTCTGTTAAAAAATAACAAAAAATCTCCTCTTCCTTGCTTGGTTAAACAGTATAGTGCTAACATTTCAGATTCATGCAAGTAAAGTTAACTACTGAACCATTTGTTTTAAGGCCCCTGGACAAGCGGAAGACATTGTTTTACTTCAACGGAAACCTTGGACCAGCTTACCCAAATGGAAGACCAGAAGCTTCGTAAGTAACTACTAGCTGTTTAAAAATTAATTAAAATAAGCCAATATGTGTGCATCAGAGATGTTGGTATATCTACCCAGAGAAACATGGTTCAATCAATTTTATGTGTATGATTCCCTCTCTCCCTCTTCCTCTTCACTATAAACCAGCCATTAAGATGTTGCTTTGTTGTGTCCTTCGGACCATTAAATAAATTTTCCATTCATAACAAAATTGTATACTGATTTGGTGTTGTGCTTTTTTGGCTGATTCCTTTTATTGATTAACCAGCAGCCACTTCCTATGCATCTCTATTTTGCAAATGTTACAGCTGGTCTGATGGTATTTTGATGATATTCATGAAGGTATAGCATGGGAATCAGACAGAAACTAGCAGAAGAGTTTGGATCAAGCCCTGACAAGGATGGAAAGCTTGGGAAACAACATGCAGAAGATGTAATTGTGACCCCATTGCGCTCTGGAAACTACGAGGAGGATTTGGCGAGTTCTGTTTTCTGTGGAGTACTGCCAGGAGATGGTTGGAGTGGACGTATGGAAGATAGTATTTTGCAAGGGTGCATTCCCGTGGTCATTCAGGTATTATAGTTCTTTGCAACCTGTCAATGTTAAAACCTGTATGCTTTAGCGTATCAATAATCTGTATTCTTTTTTCGAACTCCTGGTTTTAGAGAAGCACATTGATACTTGAGATATTTGGCTTAAGAGTGACTTCCGGAAAGTTCATTTCTGAAATTTCTGAAGGCAATCTCTGCCATGATTCTCAATTATTGGAAGAGTAATCTAGTTTTTCCAAGTTTTCCCCTTCTGTAGAGCCATAAGCATCATCCACTGCCTTGTGATATTGTAGCATATCTTTTGAATGTTAATCACTTTCCAAAGATAGCAAGCCTCAGCTCAGTTAGTCATGCTCTCTTGAAACTTGGAACTTTAAAGTACAATCAAGCTTATTAATAGCATCAGCTGTCTCCCTTGCCAAATTCAAGCTCATTTGATCATCCTGAGTGTATAGTATGATAAGCTTATTCACCAATTGATTTGGTAGTAATAAATACAGGCGTCCAATATTGTCCGGTTGGTTTTATATCTCGCCCAGCATCTCCTGATCTGGACCCATTGCTGTTTTCTGCTAACTGAGGCACAAAATGGTGCAGTTATTTAATAGAACATCTTGTAGTGCTTGAGTTGCTTCATGGTGGCCCTTGTGAGTTGATGATCCATGTGCATACACAAATACGGATTCAGACACACAGAGATTAGTAAAATAACTTCAGGAGTCATGAAAGTTCAATCGAGGTTTTTGTGGGTCCATTGTAGTTCTCCGTGGGTTAGCATTTTGTCCGGGACATGGTATGCTTGGTTTGGCATTTTGATGCTCGGAAATCTTTTGTCTTGCAAGGGTTGGGAAGCGTTAAGCAAGAGAGTAAAAATGTTCTTTCTATAGACTCTTTAGCACTATCAATGGACACCTGCTCTAGGTTTATGCCTATGTAATAACGGCTTGTTGGTGATTTATCTTTTACCATTCAATTACCTTGGGTTTCCTTGGTAGAACAAAAGGTTGCTGATTCTATCCTTAGGTGATTAAATTCATTGCAATTCTTTTTTTCCTTCAACCATTGTGGATCCATGGCGCTTGAATTAGTTATTCCGTTTTGCTTCCTTGTATTCAGGATGGGATTTTCCTGCCATATGAGAATGTACTCAATTATGAGAGCTTCGCCATTAGAATTCGTGAAGATGAAATTCCAAATTTGATAAAGATTCTTCGGGTAATTATGTTTGGTTTTAGGCATCTCTACAAAAATTTGATAATGTGTAATTCAAATGTTGATTATTTGCCGGTGCTTGCGGCATCTAGGGATTCAATGAGACAGAAAAGGAATTCAAGTTGGAAAATGTAAAGAAAATATGGCAGAGATTCTTGTATCGTGATGCTGTGTTGCTTGAAGCTGAGAGACAAAGAACTGCTTATGGTCGTGTGGAGGATTGGGCAGCTCAATTCTTTCAGTTGATTGAAGATGATGTTTTCACCACATTTGTACAGGTATACTTCTCTCTGCTCTGATTTTTGTATACAATGGGAACTGTGAGTTGGTGTTTCATTAGTCATATTTCTTTTTGGTTGAGAACGAGCGGAAGAATGGGAATCAAAACCCTTCCTTTAAACTCTTCCCAATCCCTCCCTCAAGCTCAGATCTGTGCTGTTAGTCCTCAAGGCCGTTGTCACTCCTCAATGAAAAAAACTTTAACAGATTAAGAACATGTGTTTAGTATTAAAATGGTATGAAAAGCAATGTCACTTTTTCCTTTCTACGGGCACTTCGTTAGTTTAGCTTTTGAATTCATTAATTAATTTGCGGATAACCCTTATTTCTTGGTAGAGCCCAAATATTAGTACTTCATGGATTGAGTGATACTGCATGACAGCAATGCTTTTAAAAATTATTTATCTAGTACGTACAAGTGAGAACCTTTAAGAATGTTTTTCTTTGATAGGGCTGGTCAATAAGCATACAGTTAGTCAAGGTAAGCTAATTTGGAAGCTGAAATTTTGTATCAGCTATGAACAGGAATATGCTATAGATTTAGGCAGTTTATTGCATACAGTATGTCCTGTATCAAAATTATGTTATTCTATATAAATCCTACTCTGAAATCAGAAGTCAGAGCTTGATAATTGTGGCTTCTCCAAAATGTCTGGAGGGATTATTTGGGTGTTCACAATATCCAGGCAGTTGAGAGCTCAATGGCCTAGTTTTCAAATTGTACCCTTTTTCTTTTGCATGTTCAGGTGCTCAATAAGTAAAATGGCGTCTGTTGAGTTTTTGATATTTGATTCAGGAATGCGTATGTATATTTGTGTGTGTATTTTATTTATTTGAGGGAGAGATTTTATGACTTGGAGCATCTGATGGAACACAACTATTTGAGTGATGCAGTGGATTATTGCGGACTCAAAGCATAATCTTATATCAATATATGTTTATTACAAATGAAAGTGAAGAAATTACCTGCATATGCATGTTTGCCTTTGTTTGCGGTGTCACTCTGAAGTTGCCCTTAGGGTACATGGTACTAGGTTTATTTTGTTATTTTATTTTTTGGTTCAAGGGAGTATTATGAAGTTGGGTTTCCGCAATCATTTGCTGTCTGGGGCATGCAGCTAACTACGAGGCTATTTATCTTTAGTCTCCTGTGTTTATTTTCACAATGTAAATTGCACTGATTGTTGTTTCTGCCTTAACAAGGTTCTCCACTACAAGATGCACAACGACCCATGGAGGAGGCAACTCGGTCATCCAAAGAAGGATTTCGGGTTGCCACAAGAATGTTTAAGAACTAACTAAAGAGCTACCTAGTAAGCGAAGCTGAACAGATAGCTGGAACTGTGAGGTGAAAAGATGCAAAAGTGCATGAGCTTCTGAACTTTTTGGAGAACCATACTAAACAGTGGGACATTAGCCGCAGAGCCAAAATTTTACAATCGGCAGGCAAAGATCTTATATCTTCACCTCCATGGAAAAAAAAAAAAAAATTCTAATACATGCCTCACGTACATTTGATTCATATTTTCATATAAGTTTTGTGTCCACAAAAGTATGCAATTGAAAAAACAAGGGAGAACGCAAATTTCTTGTACTGTAGGTTTTTTGTTGCACGTTGCTTAATTTTTTTGAAAATGGGAGGATGAATTTCTGCAAGCATTCAGTGCTGATTGTATATCCTAGTAGGTTCTGTGATCTTTCCTTCTCTTCGGTTATTGCTGGATTCGAATTTCTGCAGACTGTGAAACAACCTACAGGAATGTAGATTAGGGAGTAGAATGCTCTGAAAGAACCAAACGTTAATGAGGAGGATTATTGATTTTATTTTTCAGGTTAATCTGGCTTCAATTACGGTTTGAACTCAAAACAGTTTTAGAGATGCCATTTAAACATTTGCTCTTGGAAAATACTACCTTTTGATAACTATGGTTAGAGTTTTGGATGCCAAAAGGTCATTCCTCTTTTGTTACCGTTTAAAGATAGCTGCATTTTGAAGATTGAAAAAGATTACTATATCATTCAACCAAGTTATAATTCTTTAATAATTAATGTTTAAAATTCAGAATTTTTTTTTGTTTCCATCTGTATTGGTTTACATGTCAATTATCATATTTTCTAGGTCTATTTCCTAATTATATCCTCTTGCTGTATATAGGCTATGTTTGGTTGGACGTAATGTAATGCAATCAAATGTGTAATGCAATAAAAAATGTATTGTAATCAAATCTATTAACATTCCATTACTATATTTGGCCATATAATTGAAAATTTTTCTGGAATGTAATCATCGTTCATTTATATATTTATTTGTAAAGATAATTTTCATTTATATAAAAAAAATTTATAGTTAATAACAAATAATATAAAATTTAATAAATCATAAACTGTACAATTGAATCTAGCTTGAAAGTTGGTATTTTTTTTAACACGATTATTTGTTCATAAAGCAATTAACTTGCCAAAATAGTGATTGCAAATCAGCAAATCAAAATCGTTATGAATGATTTTGCATCTTTTATCTATTTATTTTGTTAAAAGATCAGCGAATCAATGCGGTGATGTATTGGTTAGAGTAATTACTTCTATGATTAATTTGGTGAAATGGGTCATATTCCTTCATCCATTATCGAGGATGTTCTCATTTTTTTTATGCTAATAATAATTAAGTCAGGTTATCATTTAAAAAAAAAAAAAAAATTGGTATATTGTTCAATGACGAGTTGTGTTTCCAAAGTTGGTTATCTAACCGAGATTTGCTTCCTTTTCAATTCACATTTCCTTTTATTTTCCTTCACATTTATGGTAATTTAATTACCAGTAAATGGATCCGAAATGTTACGATCTTAGGGTCTATGACAAATTAGTTAGTAGTTGTTTTAGTAGAATTCATTATAATATTTTACATTTGAAAAAATAGTTTGTTTTAAAATATTTGTCACATTTGTAGTTTTTTTCATATTTACCCTTTGTATGTCACCAATAATTATTACTTCAATTTAATGATTTTTTTTGAGAATTAGTATTAAATTAAGAGCAATATAGTCATTTTGCTTAATAATTTGTTGTAATTTGGACAAATTTAATGGTTTCTTAAGAGACATAAAATTTCAAATGTAATAAATATTATGAAACTGAAATAGTAACTGTTAGCTGTTTGAATAGCTTTCCATAAAACGTTAAAAACTAAACAGTACGGCTGTGTTCGGCAACGACTTTTTAAATAGCTTTTAGCGCTTTGAAGTACTAAAGGCTACTTAAAAAATTACTCAAAAGCACAGTGTTTGAACTAGTTTTATAGGTTATGATAGTTTTATGAAAAGTTAATTCATATAATGTTTAACTTTTAATGTCTCATGAAAAATTACTAAAACAGCTACAGTTAAACGTTACTAAAACAACTAAACAACTAACAATTATCAAAACAGTTAATATTGCAAAAAAGAAGAGGTGTGCATGGGTCGGGTCGGGACAAAAATTACATAATTTCCAATCCCATCCCAAATTAGCGTGACAAAAAAAAAAAAGATTCTCAATCTCCTCCAAATAGATATGTAGTCTTGTTCCATCTTGTCCCATTTTTTGGAATGGGACGGGACAGACGGAAATTTGGATCTACAGGGATAGGACGTTATGGATCAGATCAGAAATCAATCGAGATTTTTCATAATTTTACTAAATTATTTTACATAAAAAATAAATATTATTATATTCATTAATTACAATCAAACAAAATTCATTTATATAGGTTTGAGTTTAAAAAAATTAAATCAAATAATTAATTCAACCATTGATGATCTACTACTAAAGTTATAATAAAAGATTTTTAAGTAGATATTTTATAGTTAATAAAAGCATTAAATATAATAAAATAAAATAATGTAAAAACTATATATAATTCTTTATATGTATTTTATGAATTTTAACTCGTCATTGGTTTTGTCAATGTTGTCTTTAAATTGATTTAAATTTGATACTTACGTAATTTAATCTTAAATATCATCTGAAAAATAAATAATGATAACATTAAGTATCACCAATAATCTAGTAATCAGATTAATTGAAGTTAATATTTTTTTTCTTGTATTGATTAATCTTTCCATTTTTTAATAAAACAAAATTTATTAAAAAAATTTACTTAACACATACTGTGTAATAATATAGGAAAAAACCTATATTAAAAAATGTTTTATTACTTGATTTATTTTATATTTAAAAATATATATTATTTTTTCGTATTATTTTTACTTTAGCAGTCATTGATATCATAAAAAACACTAAAATAAAAGGATGAAACGATTTTTAAGGACATAATTTGAAATTCATAAAAAAAAGATAACTAGAATTTTAAAGGAAAAATGAGACGGAAATTCCTGAGTTTCAGGACGGGACAAGATGAGATAAAACTTGGGTCAATACAACTTGATTTTAATCAAAAAAATTAGTCTCGTCCTATAAATACTTTTGGGACGAGACTATTTGTTAATTATCAGAATTGAGATTTGAGAGTATTTGAAAATTAGTCCCCGCTTGGAGTAAATTTAGTCTATATCTATTGGAGTTAAAGATAAATTATGTTAGGATAAAGATTGTGAGAATCCTCTATTATCTGTTAATTAGAGTTTAGTTAGAAATGCAATATCCTTTAATATATTTATACATTGATCTTTTATGTATTTTATTATTGTAATTATTAGTAGTCCCCCAAAAATTATTGGTTATTTATGTCTAACAAATGTTTATATTTGAATTGATAGACCGTTTAAATATGAGTTGTTTAAGCTTGAGTGGGTGGAATGTTTAAGTCCGAATTGATGGACGATTTATGTCCAAATTGGAGGACTGCTTAAATTCGAAATGATAAACGATTTATGTCCGAATTGGTGGGCGTTTTATGTTCGAACTGGGCATTTTATGTCCGAACTGAAGGACTGCTCAAGTTCGAAAATGACGGACGATTTGTGTCCGAATTCGAGGACTACTCTCAAGTCCGAAATGATGGACGATTTATGTCTGAATTGATGCACGATTTATGTTCGAACTCGAGGACTGCTTAAGTCCGAAATGATGGACGATTTATATCCAAATTTATGGACAATTTATGCTCGAAATGATGGATGATTTATATTCGAATTGGAGGACTTTAAGTTCGAAATAATGGACAATTATGTCTGAATGCTTAAGTCCGATTTTGTTGAGGATTGTTTAAACCCGAAATGATGGATAATTTATGTCGGAAATGATGGATGTTCAAATTGGAGGATTGATTAAGTCTGAATTTATTGATCTCCATTTGGTTGTGCTACCTGCGGTTTTATTATGGTATAAAGAATAAAAGTTCAAGGCAACAAACTAATTAACAAAATTGCTTTATTTCATCAAATGTGGAGAAAATGAATAAATATAGTCAACTTATTATTAATCTAATTTAAATTTTTACTGGTCCTCTCACCCACAAAAAGAAGATAAAAACTGTAGCTCGATACTAAAAACAATGATATACTCAGCTAAATAGTAATGAGATTGTAATGTAATGTTACAAAGCAGTATTGCATGTTGTAGAAACTATATTTTTTGAGATATCAACATTAATTCTATAATCTTTTGTAATTATCAATTCATTAAAACATCAATAATAGTCTACTCTCCCATCCTCACCCTTTCTAACTCGTGTTTATAATTATAAGATTGTAGAGTCGTTTCTAGCACTCAAACATCAAAGTAATAATCAAATTTTGTATAGTTAAATACTTGCAAAATTACCATATAAAAAAAACAATTACCTAATTATCATTAGAACTTATCAACAACAAACAGTTACATATTCACACAAGTAACAATTTATAATATCTCAATAATTACCTAATTATCTTTATAAAATGTATTTTATATTTAGGGACTTAATGCAATAAACTTAATATTGATTATTGCAAAAAAAAACCGGAAGGGTAAAGATTAATTAACATAGATATTCATTACCATTATACTCCAAAATTTTAATTAATTAACATAAAATAGTTTTATATTAATAAAAAAATCTGATTAATCGCCTATGTCTAAGCTCTATTGAGTTTAAACAGCGATTTGATTTATTTACCGTCCTAAACTCAGGTCAGGTATGTAGCAAGTTTGGTTCTATCACCTACATGTCACCTTATCATCCCATATTCTCAACACTCTCCCCTCAGAAACCCTCCCTCCCTTTTCACTTCTTATTCTCTCTCTTTTTCTTTCGCACTGCTCCGTTTCTCTTTCTATCAAAGCAAACACTCTCTTAACCATGAACGTCACTTCTATTCGTCTCGAGTCTAATCCTATCACTTCTTCTAAGTGGGCCCACCGTCCAGCCCACCGCAGGTCTCTTCTTCCTCCTCGAAACGTCGTTATATGCTCCCTGAAACCTCCCTCTTCGTCGTTGAGCGTTGCCGAGTCAGCCTCCACCGACTCATTGAGTCGTATCGGGTCACTGAGTCAAGTTTCTGGTGTGTTGGGTTGCCAATGGGGCGATGAAGGTAAAGGCAAACTTGTCGACATTTTGGCGGAGCATTTCGACGTTGTCGCTCGTTGCCAGGTAACTAAAAGTTAACTAATTTAAAAGCGGGAAAGATTGTAGCTTTGCTTCGTACAGTAGTGTAAATTTCAACCTTTTTTGCTAATTGTAATTGGGTATTTATTGCTTTAAGGATTTCACTATTGTAATATGAATTGGGTATTTGGTTTGTTATTTCTTTGATTTTTGATCTGATTTATTATTAGCTTGTGAAAAGTAAATTTTGTTGATTGCAAATTGCAAACTTGGTTTAGCCTCTAAGTATGTAAACATTATTTTTGATACTAGGGTGGGGCTAATGCTGGTCATACAATATACAACTCAGAAGGAAAGAAATTTGCCCTTCACCTTGTTCCGTCTGGTATTCTTAATGAGGATACTCTCTGTGTTATTGGCAATGGAGTTGTGGTTCACTTGCCGGGGCTGTTTAAGGAAATTGATGGCTTGGAATCCAATGGTGTTTCTTGCAAAGGAAGGATATTGGTGTCTGACCGTGCTCACTTGTTGTTTGATTTCCATCAAGAGGTTGATGGGCTTAGAGAAGCGGAGCTTGCTAAGTCGTTTATCGGAACTACTAGAAGAGGGATTGGACCTTGTTACTCGAGCAAGGTGATTCGTAATGGTATTAGAGTAAGTGACTTGAGGCACATGGATACTTTCCCTCAAAAACTTGATCTTTTACTATCAGATGCTGCTTCGAGATTCCAAGGTTTTAACTATGGCCCAGAAATGCTTAGGGAAGAAGTTGAGAGATACAAGAGATTTGCTGAGAGGTTGGAACCCTTCATTGCGGATACTGTGCATGTCATGAATGAATCTATTGCACAGAAGAAGAAGATTTTGGTTGAAGGTGGCCAAGCTACCATGCTGGACATTGACTTTGGAACTTATCCTTTTGTGACTTCATCGAGCCCGTCAGCTGGTGGGATCTGCACTGGTCTTGGTATTGCTCCAAGAGTTGTTGGTGATCTCATTGGAGTGGTTAGTAGATAACTTATTTTCTTTTTGTTATTTCTTTTTGCTCATTAAGTCTGACTACTACTACTCCTTTCGATTTACTTGGATGGGTCTGAAAATGCTAGTAAGACTTCCATTGCATCAGGGATTTGTCTGGAAAACATCTTTACGACAGAGACATAGTACTTAATATATAAGCGATAAAGATTTGTGTGCTTTTGGTGTGGAAACTTATTGCAGCTTTAGGAGATCTATATAAGATCTGAAGAATGCATTTTAACTTTTAATTTTTGGCACAATATATCTTTTAAGTTGACACAAAAGTTTAGAGAATAAAGATTTAGTTTGTGGCCTTAAACTCAACCGCTGAAAATAAAAAGGCTGTATTGTCTTTATGGTTGTTGTCAGCATCCTTATGTTAATTTTACTTGCAGGTGAAAGCATACACTACAAGGGTCGGTTCTGGTCCTTTCCCTACGGAGATCTTAGGTCAAGGGGGTGACCTTCTTAGGTTTGCCGGACAGGAGTTTGGAACCACAACGGGTCGTCCTCGCCGTTGTGGTTGGCTTGATATAGTTGCACTGAAGTACAGCTGTCAAATTAATGGCTTTTCTTCTTTGAACCTTACCAAACTTGATGTTTTGTCTGATCTTCATGAAATTCAGTTGGGAGTTGCTTATAAACAGATTGATGGTACTCCAATTCAATCATTCCCAGCAGATCTTCGTCTTCTTGAACAATTGAAGGCAAGTATATCTATCATAATTTCAAATAGTAGTTATCATATAACTAATGACATAAATTTAACAATCTCTGTGGCTAAAACAAGTAGGATGGATTAAAAGCCTTGTCGCATCAACTAAAAAGTTACATAGTTGCTTGCATATTATAACTAGCATATCATTTCCGCTATCCTGAAAAAAATATAAAAAACACAATGCTTCAGTTATAATTTTTTTTTCTTTTACCTCATTAATTGTTATCGAGTACAAAGTTGCTATTTAGGTATTTTGCTCAATGAAGTTTTATTGGTGTTTTGTGGATTCATTGATTCATATCTTCTGATGTGTTCAGGTTGAATACGAAGTTCTACCTGGATGGAAGAGTGATATTTCTTCTGTTAGAAACTACTCCGACCTTCCAAAGGCTGCACGGCGATATGTAGAGAGGATAGAAGAACTTGTTGGGGTACCAGTCAATTACATTGGTGTCGGGCCTGGACGGGATGCTCTCATATTCAAGTAATTGAAATATTATTTACTTAGACAACCCGATTCCATTATTATGCAATGCTGCAACATTTTAGCATGATTACTTAATCGGGCAAAATTTTTGGACAGAATAAGAAGTTACGAAGTAGATCTGTCCATTTACATACGGTGTTTACTTTGAATTGTATGTTTAATTATGTTAAATCATTAGAGATGTCAGTCATGTCACAGTTTGTTAAGTGCAAATTAGGGAAGAGATTTTTCTGTTCCAACAGTCATTTGAGCCCTTTAATAATGTAGTTACGCCAGCTTTTGTAGTTTGGAATCTCAAATTAGTTCTTGGTTGCAATATTTTGTTAAGGCCCCATGCTCCTATTTTCCGTGGCCCTTTTATTTTTATCCTTTTTTCTGTTATTATATTGCTTCCAAGGATGATTATGAATTTAAGGGGGCAAAACTCAGCCAAACATACATATTCGCTATTGAATTTTGAATTTTATCACCTGTGGAATTCTCAATTTTTATTTTGATCTAGCAAACACTTAAATTTATAAAATTATATTAATTAAACACTTAAACTTGCAAAATTATTTTATTAAAATGCTTCAACTTACAAAATGGTAAAGGGTAAATGCATAATTTTGCTCAAAAAGTCGGCGTATCACCAACGATATTTTGGGAATTAGCTTTAAACTTTGACATTATTTTTGTCTTTTACACAAAATCAAAGTCCTAAAAAAGACAGATCATGGAGAGAGTACAAAACCAGAATAGAATGCTACATTAGGTTAGCTCCAAAATAAATCTCAGAAGCAAATAAACAATCAGCAATACATACCGAATAGACATAGACAAGTTGATTTGATGTGGCTAGGTTATAAGTCATCAAGAAATGATAACTTAAGTTAATATCCATTTGATTTCACGACCGCCGCCACCAACTACGTTTGTAAGCTGTAATAGAGTGAAATATAATGTTATCAAATGCACTATCACTAGAAATGTTACCAATTACATTATATTCCATTACAAGTAGCCTAAATTCTTAAAGTTAAACATCATAAAAATTCAATCTGCAATTCTGCATTGATTATTGTTCCTGCAGTTGAACGTCTATTCTTCTCGAATTCTCCATCAAGCTCTGCTACATGCTTAACTTTAATGGTAAAAATCCTATCCTGAATCAGAACTGACAATATCTGAGTGTAACTAGAAAAAACAATTTCATAAATTATTCATCATCTGAAATTGAGAGATTTTACAGTTGCCCTTCCTTATCAATCTGTCAGCTACTCAATCTCTCTCCAATGATTTCCTTAATGCACCTATACACATAATTATAACAAGTACCAGGATAACTAAAATTATGACTCTGCAGAAATCAACTGTCTCTAATCAATGCTCTATTTTGTGACTGAGCACAAACACATCTGCACCTCAATCTAGTGTTAGGAACCAACACCATTCTTACCTCAATGATGTCAAGCACCATAGCCAGCTTACCCTGCAAAAATAATGAACTTTTTTCCTTTTAACACCATTCATTATATAAACTTGATGAGACAAAAAATAATATATGCCAGAATAATAATATGCAAAAATAAACACAGTACATGATCCCTAGTTAATCCTTGAGCTTTCATCTCATCAACTATCATCAAAGAAAAACAAAGAAATGCAATCAAATACAGATCAATCATTTGATCAGAATAAATCGATCTTGGGATCAATCTCATCAACTGCATTCAAAGTTGTGCAAAACATGAATAATTATATTGATAAAGGATTGGCGAGAAAACATACGACAATAGCTCCCATAATTGCTTCAATCCCCTTTCTCCATGTCCTCATATCTTGGAAGATTCGACTTTTGCTGATATAACTTCAACAGATGGGGAGCTTCCTCTTCATAAGGCGTCACAAACTTACATAGGAACCTCTCTTCAGAAATCAACAATGGCCATAGTAAGTTAGCTGGCCTGATTAGACGTTTTGACCACAGAAACTTTAAGACTGAACACCGTGGCATAACTCTTTTCTCCAGGCTGAGTGAGAGGAGTACTGGAGATTGTGCAATATATGAAGAATCCTGACCCATTTTGTTGATATAGAAATCCATCATCGCCATGATCTTTTTCTCAGAAGCCATCATACACCAAGGATGCTTCCCAAAGGCCATAATACTCTCTTCCTTGGACCAACCCCATTTCTTATAAATATCAATTTTCTTTTCCCATGTGGATTTGCTGAATCCTCTTATTGCATGGATTGCAACAACAAAGTTCAAAACCAAAGGATTCAACCCCATTTTTTTAGTCTCTTCTACAATTTTAGCAAATTGTTCTGATGTCGTTATTAATGTTGAAGGTTGATATCTAACTAGCCAAGCAATACTTGACTTTGGCAATCCAGTTTCTTGCAAAATTTTGATATTAGGTAATACATAGAATTTGTAACGAGGCAATACACCTGGATATCGTTTTATAGCAAGAATAGCTTTCTCATCAGATGGAACTAAATTTCTGATAGCATTAAATGCAGGGATTATTTGGTTTTGTAAGCTACTATGTAAGATATCAGGGCATGTAGATAAAATTTTGGCAATATCAGGGTTTGTAAATCCTTTAGAGTGAAAAAATCGGATTTTGGGCAAAAAGGTTTTCTCAGGATCTGACAAAAGCAATGATGGTCGTGTACGTATAAGTTTCGTGATTTGGGTATTTGAAAATCCATGGCTCTCCAAAAAGGCAATAATAGAGTCTGGTCTATCTGGGGTTTCAAAATTGAGACACTTAGAAGCTGAAAGAGCAGATTTTGAAGATAATCCACAATTATTTATGAGGTAAGACACTACGTAAGAGTTTTCAGTATTAATTGCATTACTTGAAATGGCTCTAAGAGATGATAAGAATAAAAATGTGGAATTTGGAAGGGAAAAGATTTTGCATTTTACACTTCCTAATATTTTGCAATGATGAATAACACTAATCATTATTGGCTAATATTTATGCGCTTAGAGAAAACGAAAAAAGAGTTTTTACCGTTGGCGTATAGAAAAATGGAAGTGGGTATTGCAGAGACAACGAACACAACCGCCGTAATTGCTTTTGGCTTTTGAATCTCCGACGAGAGACGCAGGTCAGAAGCTCTGATTTGATTCTTACTCTGACTCTTTCGATTTCTGATTCTTTCCAGTTACAAGGTTTAGGGTTTTGAAAACACTGTAAATTAATACGCGAGAGAAACAGAAGGTTTTAGCCGTTTAGTTTGCTAAATCAGAAAACTGCTGGTTCGATAACCTTAATTAAGCGGGGTCGAGCCGGTTTACTGAGTCTGGTTAAACTAGCCGAGCTCAAACAGTTCATTACGTTGCGAGTTGACACGTGAGTAGCTCAATAAAATTAGCTCGGAAAATCTACTTATTATAAATTAAATTAAAGTAAATTCACATCAAAGTTAGATTATTTTAATGAAACTAAAAGAAATTAAAATCTCATCTGATTATAAAATATGGAGAACAAAAATAATTTTAGATTACATTTATTTCAGAAAAGTAATTTACTTAAAAAACTACTTTTCTGATTGATGTTCATAATGTTTAGAAAAAAAAAATACTCAACATAAAATTTTTTTATGATACAAAAAATTTAAACAATTTTTAAATATATATTTTTTAATTTATTAATCATAAATATCTATCATAATCTGTCACGGAGAATTATTGTAAAGATAGTTATAGCAATTAAGATATAGTCCAATCCCGTATCCATTAGGTATAATTTTTTCTTTTTTTTTTTACATTGTTAATTAATAATATTATATTTATATTTCTAAAAAAAAGTTTATATTTTATTATTTATTAATATAACATGTTTTTTTCATAGAGATGAAAGTTATTATCTTTTAATTTTATATTGGGTATTAGGGATAGTTTGAGAGGTGAAAATAAATGAATTTTAATTATAAAATTATAGTAAATATAAATTATATAAAATTTAATTAAATTCGGTATGTTGTTATCTTTAAGTTATATGATACTAAACATAAATTAATTTTCCCTTCAAGAAAAAACAGAAATTAATTTTTAAAACGAAATAAAAACGCATAAAGTAATTTGAAAATGAATTCTAGGATCCATTCCAAATCAAATCAAACCAAACATAGGGGTAGGGTTTTCATTCTAAAGCGTAAGCGGCCATAAACCGTGCCTACCTCTGTTTCCTTTCTTTCACTGTCGCAACCTGCCTCCTTCCGATATAAGTTTATAGAGCCTATCTTCTTTCTTTGTCTGTTTTTTCGCAACTTAGCTTGCTTATCAGTCTCTACTTCACACGGTTTCTGCAAAAACTCAAGCTCAATCTCTCCTTTTAATCCCCAAGCAATCCAATCGCCATCAAATTTCGCGAATTTCAGGTGCTAATCTTTAGGAATTTTTGATTTTGTGATTTTCGCTTTTTGTTTTTGCAGATTGGTTTTTGTTTAGGCTGTTGAATTTGGTTTTTGTTTAGGTGTTTGCTTTTTGTTTCTGTTGAAGTCTGTTGATATTGGTTTCTGCTAAAATTGATTAATTATGCGAGTGACTTGAACGAATCAGAACAAGAATGGAATTATGAAATAGTTAGCTCAAATTATGGTTTCATGCACTTGAATTTGGATTCCTGCTAAATAATTTATGTCTAATTGTTCGTAAAATTGAATCTGCGTTTTGAAATTCAACCAAAGTAACTGGTCTGTCCTCTACTTTATATCCACTATTACATTCTTTAATATTTCAGTTACTTTTTTTTTCCTCGATAATGAAATATATTAGGGAGAAAGGAGCTCAGTTCACCTGCCATTTATAAAAACTAGTAACTGTAACTCATTACATTCCTCTTCTTTATTCCAAATCTTTCCAATAACTTAGTTTTTGCTACACAGGAAAGATTATTTCTAAATTATTTTCTCTTTATATTGCAACCTATTAGGCATTTGCATATTAATATTATATGTTCTATAGCTGGGCAAATAAGGAAGCTAAAAAGCTTTAGCTCAGCAAGGATTTAACAAGTTCTGATCAGCTGAGTGTTAAGCTGGTGGATACTGTAAAGCTTGAAGTAAGTTTTCTATTTTATTGCTGATTTGTAGTTTAGCTTGCTAGTCCAAATCACAAAGCTAGTTGGTGAAGGAGAAACTGTTAATTTATTATGTCATTTGGTAATGATGCAAGTGTTTAAACACTTGGTCTTCAATAGCCCCATCCTCATGTTTTGGGGATATAGAATTGATTGGACCTGGGAAGGATTTGTGCAACAAAAGAATGTAAAAGTATATGATATCTTCACTTTGGGACAGTTATAATGGCTGCTGGAAAGGAGAAGATAAAAGGCAGAGTTGCAGCATATGGGTTATGGCAACCTAAATGTGTTCACTTGCTGCCTTCTTTCTTGATTGAATTTGCAGAAAAACTTGATTAGTGAGACAATATCTGAATTTCCATTAATGGCTAAACCAATGTTTTATCCTCTGTTTTTATTGTCTGTTTGTAAAAATGTCAGATTTGTGGAATTGTAGTTGGTAGTAGTGTTAACATTACCTGGAGAGATGGAATTGTGACGATAACTTGAAGAAATGGATAAGTATACGAAGATGGAATATAATTAGTTTGATTTGAAATTTTATTCGTGGTAAATAGTTTAATTTGTTATGTGGCATGATTTTGAGACTTGATTTGTTAATAGTTTGATTTTGAGATTTTTGATTTGTTATTTTTTTTTTTTTTTTTTTGGTTTGATTTTGAGATTTTTGAATTTGTTTATTTTTTTTTTTTTTTTTTTTGGTTTCTTTATTCTCCTTGCTTTTTCCCTATTTCTGTAATTTTCTGTTTTGTTTCTTTTTTTTGAAGTTTCTTTTCCATAATTCTAGCACTTTCTCCTATTTTAGTGTTTTCAATACAGTTTTTTTCCCTTCTTTTTCTTTTTTCAAATTTCTGCAGGTTTTATTTGATTTAATTGTTTCTAGAACTTTTTTTATTTCTCTAATTTTTTTTTTGAAGGATTGTTTTTGCCATTCAGTAACTGAGCCAAGCGTCAAGCTTGGGTCTATTTCTTAAAAACGAGTTCGAGCCTTTTTTTTTTTTTTTTTTTTTTTGGTTTCTTTATTCTCCTTGCTTTTTCCCTATTTCTGTATTTCTTTTTGTTTCTTTTTCTTGAAGTTCTTTTCCATAATTCTACACTTTTTCTATTTTAGTGTTCATACAGTTTTTTCCTTCTTTTTCTTTTTTCAATTTCTGCAGGTTTTATTTGATTTATTGTTTCTAGAACTTTTTTTTATTTCTCTATTTTTTTTTGAAGGATTGTTTTTTGCATTCAGTAACTGAGCCAAGCTCAAGCTTGGCTATTTTTAAACGAGTCGAGCCTTAGCATGTCCTAGAGCTGGCTCGAACCGGCTTATCTTGGCCCATTGACAGCCCTTCTACTTTTCATAGCTTAATAATTTTTCCATTGTCGTTTTGTTTTCAATTTTATAGTTGGGTTCTTCTGAATTGAAACAAAGAAAGGGGAACATAAGAGATTCAAACTGAAAATTTTAGTTAGTTATTTTAGTTCTGATATGTTGATTTGTGTTAGTGCTTTCTTTTCTTAATTAACATTTTCATGGATTTGTCTTAATTATTGGTGTTCATTTTGTGTTATTTCAGATTCTTTTGGTTTTCCGATCTTTCATTTAATTTCTAGTAGAAGATGGCATCTCGATTCTGGGGACAGGTTTGTTGTTGTTGCTAGTGTCTTTGTACTCAGATTCCATTTGTTAGGGGAAGGTTGATGCTCCATGGCATTATATCTTATTTGTTTTCTTATTTTTTTCTAGGGTGGAAGTGACTCCGAGGAGGAAGAGAGTGATTATGAAGATGAGGTTGATAATGAGGAAGCTGGTGAGTCTACTGCCCAAGCCCCACAAAACAGATATCTCAGAGGAACAGCTAGTGATAGTGATGACTCTGATGACCAAAAGCGTGTTGTCAGATCGGCCAAAGATAAACGTTTTGAGGAGTTGTCTGCCACTGTCGATCAAATGAAGAATGCAATGAAGATTAATGATTGGGTTAGCTTGCAAGAGAGCTTTGACAAAATTAATAAACAGCTTGAGAAAGTTATGCGGGTAACAGAATCTGTTAAGGTCCCATCCCTTTACATCAAAGCTCTAGTGATGTTGGAGGATTTCTTGAATCAGGCTTTAGTGAATAAGGAAGCAAAGAAAAAGATGAGCAGTAGTAATGCTAAGGCGTTGAACTCAATGAAACAGAAACTTAAGAAGAACAATAAACAGTATGAGGATTTGATTAATAAATTTAGGGAGAATCCAGAGAGTGAGGAGGAGCAGGAGGTAGATGAGGAGACTGAAGAGGAGGAAGACTCGGATTTAGAGTTTGTGGAGGACCCTTCAAAGATTGCAATGTCTGATGAGGATGAAGAGGATGAGGAAGATCACCAGGATAATCGAACTGAAGCTGAAGGCGATTGGCAGAAGATGATGAGCAAGAAAGATAAACTCATGGATAGGCAGTTCATGAAAGATCCCAGTGAAATCACTTGGGATACAGTAAACAAAAAGTTCAAAGAGGTTGTTGCTGCTCGAGGTAGGAAGGGAACTGGACGGTTTGAGCAGGTTGAGCAACTAACTTTCTTGACAAAGGTTGCTAAGACCCCTGCACAGAAGCTTGAAATTCTTTTTAGTGTGGTTTCTGCCCAATTTGATGTGAATCCAGGGTTGAGTGGTCATATGCCTATAAGTGTATGGAAGAAGTGTATGCAGAATATGACTGTTATTCTTGATATTCTGGTCCAGCATCCTAACATTGTTGTGGATGACATGGTTGAACCTGATGAGAATGAAAGCCAGAAGGGGGCAGAGTATAATGGGACAATTCGAGTTTGGGGTAACTTGGTGGCTTTTCTTGAGAGGATAGATTCGGAGTTCTTCAAGAGTTTGCAATGCATTGATCCTCACACACGTGACTATGTTGAGAGACTGCAGGATGAACCAATGTTTTTGGTCCTTGCTCAAAATGCCCAAGAGTATCTAGAGCGGGTTGGGGACTTTAAAGCTGCATCAAAGGTTGCCTTGAGGCGGGTTGAGTTGATCTATTACAAACCGCAAGAGGTTTATGATGCCATGAGGAAGCTGGCTGAACAAACAAATGTTGGTGATGGTGAGAAGTCAGGAGAGGTTGAGGAAAGTAGGGGTCCCTCTGCATTTGTTGTCACTCCGGAGATCGTGCCTCGAAAGCCTACTTTCCCTGAGAGTAGCAGAACAATGATGGATATGCTTGTGTCTGTGATATACAAATATGGAGATGAACGAACTAAAGCTCGTGCGATGCTTTGTGATATTTACCACCATGCTCTCCTGGATGAGTTCTCAACTTCCCGCGACTTGTTATTGATGAGTCACCTACAGGATAGTGTCCAGCACATGGACATTTCAACCCAGATTCTTTTCAACAGGGCTATGGCACAGCTTGGTTTGTGTGCATTCCGTATTGGGCTAATCACTGAAGGACATGGCTGCCTTTCTGAACTGTATTCTGGTGGAAGGGTAAAGGAGTTGCTTGCACAAGGTGTTTCACAAAGTCGTTACCATGAGAAGACTCCAGAACAGGTATCATTCTTTCTTTATCGCTTGCTATTTGCATCAATTTTTTGTCTATCGTTGTCTCTCTTGTTTTTCAATTTCTCAACTTATTTACTTTCAAATAGCAGAAGCATGTCTTGTTAACCATCGTCTTTAGGGTTTGAAAATGTAGCAAATATTGGATTTCATTTTTAAATGAAAGACATTTGACATGTTTTTAGGAGATCTCTATTAGCTGATAAGTACCGATGGTTATTTGCCTGCAAAAGAAAATGGTATGTTAGTTGATGAATTGTAGGCAAAAGGAAACGATGAAATGAAGGTTCTGGACTTTTACAATGTATTATGTTTTGCAGGCTTTATGATAAGCAAGTTGTGTACGAATAATGTCAACGTCGTTGTTCCTTCTTTTCCCCTCTGTTTTCTAGAACCCTTATATTTCAATGCCTGTTCTAGAGTAGTTTCATTAACAGTCTTTGTACATAATATTTTTGTTTTATATTTATGGTATGCATTAAGAATTGGTTTAATACTTGTAAACTTCTTTACAAACGTGTGCAGGAATTAATTACTTATTATCTATGTGTACATGTATATTATATTTGTGTGTGTGTGTTGATGGTGTTTGAGGTTTAACAGATTCAGCAATGAAGATATAAATTAATTGTGATCTCCTGCACATATCAGTATACTTCCTGAGTTACTTTGATCTGTATCTGTTACTTTGTGTATTTACGCCTTTGGTGGTGTTCTGTTGATGCAGTTACTAAGTGATTGACATGTGGACTAGCACAACTTACAAAATATATTTAGGTATTGGTCCACGGATGGAAACTTTTTTAATGCTATAAAAAAACATGTGCTTCTTTAAATCACAACTGCATAAAAGCCCTTGGTGGCAAGAACCATGTTATAAAATGCTAAATTTTTTTTTTTTTTTAATTTGTTGAATTGGTTGAGATCAAGAGTTGGTGATGTCACTGCTGACTCATTTTTCTAGCATAAATATTTTGGATAAAATGTGGGCAGCTTCTAAACTTATGTATCTATTATTTTTTTCGAGCATCTGCTGACAGTTGTGAATTGATCTTTTAACAGGAAAGGCTGGAAAGAAGACGCCAGATGCCATATCACATGCACATCAACCTTGAGCTTCTGGAGGCTGTGCACCTCATTTGTGCCATGCTACTAGAGGTCCCTAACATGGCAGCCAACACACATGATGTTAAGCGCAAAGTCATTAGCAAGACATTTAAGCGTTTGCTTGAGGTCAATGAGAGGCAAACTTTCGTAGGCCCTCCTGAAAATGTCAGGGATCATGTGATGGCGGCAACTCGTGCTCTTACCAAGGGGGATTTCCAGAAGGCTTTTGATGTTATCAAGTCTCTTGATGTCTGGAGGCTCCTTAGGAGCAAAGACAATGTTCTTGAGATGCTGAAAGCCAAGATTAAGGAAGAAGCTCTTAGAACCTACCTATTTACCTACTCCTCCGCTTATGAGTCACTTAGCTTGGACCAGCTCACCAAAATGTTTGACCTGTCAGGAGGCCAAACCCATAGCGTTGTTAGCAAAATGATGATCAATGAGGAACTCCACGCAAGTTGGGACCAGCCAACACAATGCATCATCTTCCATGATGTTGAGCATTCAAGGTTGCAGGTTCTGGCATTCCAGTTAACTGAGAAGCTGTCAGTTCTTGCTGAGAGTAATGAAAGGGCAATAGAGGCAAGGATTGGTGGTGGTTTGGATCTGCCTATGAGGCGGAAAGAAGGCCATGATTATGCTAGCATGGCTGCTGCAGGTGGCAAGTGGCAAGACACTTTTACTCAGGGAAGGCAAGGTTCAGGGCGTTCCGGATATAATGTTGGCGGTGCCAGACCACCAGCATTAGGCCAAGCTACTGGTGGTGGCTATTCAAGAGGTCCGTCACGTGCAGGTGGATACTCGGGTGGGTCAAGGTATCAAGATGGGGCATATGGTGGGTCAGGAAGGACTTCTGTAAGAGGAACTCAATTGGATGGTTCAAACCAGATGGTTAGTCTCAACAGGGGGGTTCGCACTTAGAGGATAGTAAGAGAGGCGATCAATTTTCTTCCGAGTAGCCAAGTCTTTTCCTCTGGGATATTGTTGGTTCCCTGAAACTTGTTTTATTGTTATTTTTTTCCTTTTTTAAAATTTTATTGCCATTATATTCTGAATAGGAACTCAAAAGATAACTTGTAAGTTCTATTTTTGGCTAACGAGATCATGCAAACTACTATTTATACCGGTTACCGGGATTTGACAAAATAATGTTTGCACTCTTGCTTCTCTCTCTCTCTCTCTCTCTCTCTCTCTCTCTCTCTCTCATATGTTGAGTGGTGATGGATTTTTCTTGATCTTTTATTTCGAGATCATTGATAAGTTGCAGGTGGTTGGTGATGGAAACAGGCTCTCAGTGTTGCAGCTGCCTTGTAATTTAACATTCTATATTAGTTTTTGCTTACATGATATGTTTTTTTACCTCCTTGGAAGCAGGCTTGGTGTGCTGCCACTTAGAGCTTAACAAGCTGCTCATAGTTGTAACTTTATCAATGGCATTAACCCCATTGCTTAATGAAGCTGGAAGATGTATGTTTCTGGTTAATTTTTTATGGTTTGACAAGTTCTTGGGCAATCAATTTTTTGAGAAAATGTGGGACATGTGGGACACCATGTGAACGATTAGTCTTGTACTCCGATCCATCCATTATATTTATATTAACCCGACTCCATCCATCCCGATCTGAATAATTATAGAGCGGGTGTCCAATGAATATTAATTTTTCTTTGCACTAATAAGAGTAAATTAAATTGGAAAACAAGGATAATTACATGGTAAAGGAGTGGCATGAAAACATACAACAATAGCTCCATAAGTGTTTCAACCCATTTCTCCATGTCCTCTCATTTTGGAAGATTCAACTTTTGCTTATATAACTTCAACAGGTCGGGAGCTTCATCCTTATAAGGTGTCACATACTTGCGCAGGAACGCCTCTTCAGTAATTTTCAACGGCCAAAATAGGCTAGTTGGCCTGATCAGACGTTTTGACCGCAGAACCTGTAAAACTGAACACCGTGGCACAACTCTTCTCTCCAAGCTGAGTGAGATGAGTAATGGACATTGTGCAATATAGGAAGAATCCAGACCCATTTTGTTGATATAGAAATCCATCATCGCCGTGATCTTTTCCTCAGAATACATCATTAACCAAGCATGCTTCCCAAAAGCCATAATAATCTCTTCCTTGGACCATCCCCATTTCTTATAAATGCCAATTTTCTTTTCCCATGTGGATTTGCTGAATCCTCTTATTGCATGGAGAGCAACAACAAAGTTCAAAACCAAAGGATTCAATCCCATTCCTTTTGCCTCTTCAACAATCTCAGCAAATCGAGCCGACCTTGTCTTTAAAGTTGCAGGATGATATCTAACTAGCCAAGCAATACTTGACTCCGGCAACCCAGTTTCTTGCAAAATTTTGATATTAGGTAAAACATACGATTGGAAGTTAAGCATTATACGTGGATATCGTTTTATAGCAAGAAGAGCTTTCTCATTAGATGGTAACAAATTTCTGATCACATCAAAACCAGGAATTATTTGGTTTCGTAAGCTACTGTGCAAAATATCAGGACATACAGATAAAATTTGGGCAATTTTAGGCATTTCAAATCCTTTAGAATGAAAAAATTGGATTTTGGGCAAAAGGGTTTTCTCAGGATCTGCCAAAAGTACTGATGGGCGTCTGCAGATAAGGGTTGTGATTTGGGTATTTGAGAATCCATGGCTCTTCAAAAAGGCAAGAACTGAGTCTGGTCTATCTGGGGTTTTAAAATTGAGAAACTTAGAAGCTGAAAGAGCAGATTTTGAAGATAACCCACAATTATTTGTGAGGTAAGACTCTATATAAGAGTTTCCATTATCAACTGCATTGCTTGTGATGCCTCTAAGAGATGATAATAATAAAAATGTGGAATTTGGAAGGGAAAAGATTTTGCATTTTACATTTCTTAATGTTTTGGAACGATGGATACCACTAATCATTATTGGCTAAATTTTTATGCGCTTAGAGGAAATGAAGAACGAGTGTTTACCGTGTGCGTGTAGAAAAATGGAAGTGAGTTAGTATTGCAGAGACAACTAACACAACCGCTGTAATTGCTCTGAGCTTCAGAATCTTCGATGAGAGAAGCAGGTGACACTGTTCAGATTTGATGCTATATTTTACCCTTTCTAGTTCTGATTTCTTCTAGTTCTAAGGTTAGGGTTTTGAAAGTACTGTGAAGTTTAAATTGATAGGCGATGAGGGGAAATTGAAGGTTTAGTCTGGTAAATTATAATCAGGTCCTTCATATTTTGTAATAATAACAATTTAGGACAATGTTGTCTTCAAATTAAAATAAATCAACTAATCTTTTTTTTTTTGAGGAATTGTTATTGTTTTAGAGTAAAATACTTTAAGGTCCCTAAATTATTATTAAATTAACGCTTACATCCGTCTATTATGGAGTAATAATTATGGCATTCTTGAGTTGTTTGCGTAATAATTATTATTAAATTAACGCTTGCATTATTATTCCGTCGTATAAGTAGATGTTTCCGTTTGTTTTGACCCATGTTTAACGTTAAAGATATGTATAAGTACGACAATAGCCTTAATTGATACAGTAACGTCTTGTACGCAACCTCCTCTTTCTTTCCTTCTGTACCTTTCTTTCTGTTTGTCTTTTGTCGGGTTGTACATGTTTTTCCTTCTTTTTGTTCACCAATCCAATTTTTTTAAGTGTTTATTTACCCTTACAAATATAAGATTGAAACAATTTACGCAGAACGCAACTCAATGCCAAGTCTTAACAATTAAGAGTTTAAATCCCATGTATATGCATTTGTCAAACCGACATGCAAATCAAATCCATGGAGAAAGTATCGGTTCTGCAACTAGTCAGGACTAAACAGCGAAAGCAGCTTCCCAAACTCAAGACTATAACTTTCCAAATTTCAAGTTTTAATTGCATGAATTCTCTATTTTCTTTTTCTTTTCACTATAGATTTTAGTGTGTTGTTCTGTTTTTGTCTCGGTACTGCTTGTTACTTTTCGATCACAGAGAGTTCTATTATTGTTGTTCTTTATCGGATTTTTCTTGCTCATTTATTTTTTTTTTTCTAAACTTTTTTGTTTTATGATCTTGTTGTGTCTTTTAATTTCAGTATGGGATTTAGGGATTTTCGGAACCATCTGGGATTTCCTTTTATCATGGTTGGTGTGTGTCAAACTAAAGGCAAAAGTACCAAACTTGAAACAAACGACAAGCAATCCGCCATGTTCAACATGAAATTTGAGCATGTTGGGAAAATCGCTATTTTTCCCGCCCTTCGGATCGGCTTCAAGCAGGAACAAATGAGAAAATAAAATAATGACTGAGAAATTAAAGAGAACGTTTCTAAACTTGTTTTTGATTTTATGATCTGTTGTCGTCCTTTTTAATTTTCAAGTATGGATTAGGGATTCGGAACCATTCTGGTGAATTTCTTTTATCTAGTGGTTGGCTGCTGTGCATCAAAGCAAAAGTACCAAACTATGAAACATATACCGACAAGCAATTCCGCCATGTTCAACATGAACTCTATGAGCTCGTTGGGCAATCTGCTATTATTTCCCGCTCCTTACGGATCGGCTCAAGCAGGAACAAATGAGAAAATAAAATAATGACTGAGAATTAAAAGAAGAACACGATATTTAACGTGGAAACTCCCCAAGCTGGCAGAAAAACCACAAGAGCTACCGTTGGTCAAACGACAATCAAGAATAAATATTCTCACTATGCAGGCATAAAGTATGTTACAAACCACAATTACAAATATTCTATTCTACCCGCACCCACATCTTAGACACCAATATTTTTATACTCCAAGGGAATTTCACTAAAAGACTCCACGAATATAAACACAAAGTGTTTGGTGGATTCTTGGTGTGAATTTTAGAAAGCTAAACTTAGTCTTATACTTTATAAACCAAACCTACAACCCCTCATAAAACTCAAATTACCCCGATGTCGGATTGAGCAAAAAACATTTTTTTTATATTTTTTTTTTCTTTTGGTTCAGCAGGACGGCGCGACTAACAATCTTCCACCTTGAAAATAAAAAAAAAAACACAACATTGTCTGCTACCGACAATCATAATTCTTTAAATCGTCAAGAATTATCATACTCCATCATAAAAGAGTATCGCCACTTGGAACCACTTTACCGACTCCCAAGAATTTTTTCCAAATCCGGCCAATGTGCGGATCCCGCTAATCAGTCTTTATGGTGCAAACCCTCCTGTTGACTTTTCGAGAGTTCATTATGCATTCGAGCAACTTTTTACCACGACTACACTTTGCATCAACTTCCGTCAACCAATGCAAGTGCGCATTTTCCGTGGAACCAGATACCAAATAATCGTCCTCTTCCATGGCCATCTCTACGGGTAGCAGATATGCATAAAGGACAGTCTCTCAAATCCTACAGGAGATCACTATCACCTCTCCTTCAGCCACGCAAGGTAGATCACATTGGCAGCAACAACGTTAAGAGCTTCCATAGCCGAATCAGGCTCCACCCGTTACGGTGCAAATCCTTCCTCACGTGTCCAGTTTGACCACAAACCCAGGCAGACAAATTCCTCTTTCCGAGCCTTTTAATGTCTTTTCTTGGGTAACCGACAAAATAAAGCTGAATCCTCATATGAAATTTATTTTTCATTTCATTCCAGTCTATCTCCTCAGTAATAGGAAGCTTACTTTAACACAGCATCCGCATACACCACTTCCTTACTACGCGGATATTTCAGAACAGGTTCCACTGTGCTGCATAATGATATCGAAGGAAGTGAAAGGATGAGTCCCGAGATCTTATTCTTGCTCTCGGTTCGACTCCAAGAGTTTTTCTAATTCAGTAGATCTGCCAATTAAGACAAATGATCTGAACATAGCTTTGTACCTATACCTGACCATTTCAACGTATTGAAATCTGCTTCTACCCTTCAAATATAACCTGTTGGATGATATTTTTTGCCCTGGTACAATTCTTCCAGTTATCTTAACCACACACTACTTTGTCGTTGGATTCAATCCAGCACCATTAAGCCAAGACATTTTTTGCTAAGACACATGCGAATTTGACTTGCCGCTTATGATATTCCAGCTCCCTCCCATCTTCATTGCTAATCATTAGGATTTTATTACTGAGTTCACTGCTACTCGTCTTTTCCTGAATTTTATACCGCTGACTGAGTTTAACCCTTCCCAAAACCTGTATGCAGTCCAGACTGAATGCAACAGTACTTGAGCTTCACTCTGCCACAAGTAGATTAAATTCATTCATCCGATCATATATTTCTCAATCTCACATCGTCATGCCCGCATGCTTACTTGTGCTTTAACAAATGAACCCAATAAATTAAGAAGTTACAACCGATTACGGCAATACGCAGGAAAGCACTCACATTATGATATCTCTAGACAACTATTACATCCACGTAACAATACTCTCACGTTGGACGGAGGGGGTCACAATGCGTCCCACTTAATCCTTAGGTCCTTTCCTTAGACAGATTAGTTACAGATGGCAACGGTATATATCAGAGAATAGATATACTCTAATATATATATACGTCAGGAATTCTAGCCACGAACTCCAGCACAACTCAAAGCAAACGCCATACACATCCCATGCTCCATAGACTCCATAAACTCCACCTGCTTTCTTAAAATTATAATTCTAACAACATATTTCTGATGTGGAAGATCAGCACTACAGCCGCAACCGACAGAGCAATACTTCATCAATCAAGAAATTATTATATTAACACATAAAAGCGTTCGCTACACTAGGTCTGAAACGCAACTTAGTTGGGAAAATCGCTATTTTACCCGCCCTTCGGATCGGCTTTCAAAGCAGGAACAAATGAGAAAATACAAATAATGACTGTAGAAAACTTAAAGAGAACACGATAATTTTAACCGTAGGAAAACTCCCCAAGTGGGAGAAAAACCAACGCCGTTGTCAAACGACAATCAAGAAAAATATTCATCTATGCGGCAAATTGTTACAACGCACAAAATTACAAACATATTTTTCATCACGACACCCTCAAAACACCCCAAATATTTTATACTCCAAGGGATCCATTAAAGACGTACCTATTATAATAAAACACAAAATGATTTGGTGTGCATTTTTGGTGGTGATTAGAAAGCTAAACATTAGCTTTCTTTTATAACCAAACCTACAACCCCTCATAAAAAAATCATAACCCTCATAACTCAATCTCACCGATGTGGGATTGAGCAAAAAACATTTTTTTATATTTTTTTTTCTTTTGTTTTCAACAACGGCGGCTAACAGAGCAGTCCATGGCCGGTGCCGGAGCTATATGGTGGTGACTGGCAGCACTATACCCAAGATTGAAAAAATTGAAACAACACAGAGGATCACAGACTGCTTTGGAATCATTTTGGAGTTTTTGTTGACGAGAGTGAAGTGGGTTTGGTGTGGAGAGATAAATAAGAAAAGTGTGTAGAGTGAGAAAGAGGCAGAGAGTAGAACTTTGAAATATAACTTTTTCCTCTATTGATATCAATAATAAAAGTTACAGGAACTATCTATGCACAGTCATACATAATAAATTTTTTGAAAAATCTGTTTAAGTATAGAATATTTAGATAGTTATTTTATCCTATGAATCAAATAAAATACTAGTTGTCATGGTGAAAATTTATATGTTTTGCAAAAATCATCTGTAACCAAAAATATCTAGTATATCTATTATTATATTACTTGAGATTTTATTATTAATGAATTAGATATTTTAAAAAATAATTGTTAAATACAATAATAAAAATAACTTTTTTTAATATTTTATTTAAACAACATATTAAAATAGGAAATAAATACATGATTTATGAAAATAATTATACCCTTAATAAAGGCCTAATGACAAAAAAAAAAAAAATCTAAATTTTAACTTTTTTATCAATTCTAACCAGCTCTTTTAATTT